ATGGTTGGTGACGTCAGGTTGATGTCTTCAGTGTCACTAATGCTCCATTCAGGACTCTGGATGCTTTTGTGCTCCATTGATGTGAACACAGAGAGTCAGTGTGGGAACCTCACATGAGATCTACTCACACTGACCAGCACAAACACACACACATCTGCTTCATCTGGAGCCCATCGTGTGTGTGTGACGTCACGGCAGCAATGATAATGCTGAATATCACAAATTATGATATGACTTATAAATTGCAAATTGTTAAAGTACTTAATTTTACACACGATTGCATAAGTAAATCCAGTCAGTAATGCATGGGATTCTTTTTTTGCTTTATAATGTGTACGTGTGTGCGTGTGTGTAATACATTTTACAGTGATGTATGCATGCTCACTGACTAGTGTTTCTAGTAATGACGAGCGTGCTGCTTCAGTGACATTGATGTGAACATGAGCTCTCTACAGGTCAGCACTTTCCCAGATTCACCCTTCAGCTGCTCCTTTGAGCCCCTGATGGAGGATCATTGAGCATGTGGGGGTCCACATCCCTCATTGTCTGTTTGAGCTCTTCCATTGGCTCCAAACTGTGAGAAACTCCAACAAGCTCACGCCTCACACATTCATATGGAGATTTGGGAGTATAAATAGAGGAGCTGCAGCCAGTGCAAATCAGACTCACTCTGAACAGAGAGATCTACAGCACAGAGATCCAGACATGACACCTACAATCATCTCAAAGGAGCAGCTCCCTCTCAACAACAAGGTACATTCATATCCTACTTACAGCAGCATTACTGCAGCAGCTTTCACTGCTCTTCTTAAATGTCAGCTTATCTAAAGGGCACTTTCCTAATGCTCCCGTTTTCATTTGCAGCTGAGAAAGCCAAGGGTGGAGAACATGCTCAGAGATTGTGTCAACTCAAGCTCAAGTGTCTTCTGGCTCCAGAGTTCCTCAAGCAGCAGCCTGATTCCAAGCTGGAGAAAGCAGATATTCTGGAGATGATGGTCTGTTCAAACATTTCCAGCAGTTGCTGAAATCATCTGATGAATAAGAGCTTCTGTTCCTCCATCAGCTGAACTTCAATCTCAACAAAAGCATTTAGCCTGCAGCGCCATCTGAAGGAAAGCAACGTCTTTGGAAAACATCTGTATTAGATGTCAAAAACATCATTATTGGATTTGATTTTATGAATCCAGTTTTGTTTCCATCACCGGAAATGTATTGTTTTTTTTAATGCTTTTGTATATACCTTCAATGAAGGCATATTGCATTTGTATTATACAATTGCAAATATTTGCTTTATGTGAAGTACAAATATCCCATATTGGGAACTGGTTTTGAATATATTATCAGTATGATAAACACTCTGTTGTCCTCATAGGACGTTTAATCTCATCAGAATCACATATAAAGATGGTTCAGTGTTTTTTACTGCCATATTCTGTAATTAATTCACTTCTGTTGAGTGTGACATGGACTGATTTATTTTCCTTTAATGGAATATTTTAACTGTCAACTACCTTGACATTAAGCGCTAAATGTTTCTGTTACGCTTTGCTTTTACCCCTCATGTGGAGGAATGTTAATAATGATTTGTGGCAAATCATTTGTAAATGTCACATGACTTTTGTAAAGTTCAGTAATATTTGATGTGAGTTCCAATATGTGTTTAATGTATTTTGGCGATCTCTTCATGCATATTTTGTGATATGTTATCACCTGTTTATTTGCATTCATGGTGAAATCATGTCATCACAAAACATACAAAATAATAATAAAAAAAGTCAAATATAATTTCTGCTGTTGTATTCTGTCTTGTCATGAAATATAATATTTTAAACATGATCCTAAAGAGAAAAGAATATTCATGTTTACTAGAATAAATATGTAAATTTATATATACAATAAAACATATATGTATGCATATATTTATATACATATAAAGCACTTGTATTCAGTGTATTATTTATATAAAAATTTCTTAATCAATAATTCTTCCACAAGCGAAATTTACCAATTTGTCAAAAAAAAAAAAACGTGATTGACACAAAAAAAAGCTCTTAATGTACAGCAAGAATTAAAAATGAGGATAGAAAATCTAAAATGTTGTGATTATGCCCTCTTGCATTTCTTTTTGTGAACATTCTCATCAAAATAGATTCTAAAATTTAGATAGATATAGTCATTAGAATTTTGAATTAGATCCCACTGGTAAATTATGCCAATTAAGTCCTTGGCATTTAATAATTTAATTCTACTATAGTGACTTAAATATGTGTGACAAAAATATATATTTTCTCGTTGTTCAAATATTAATCATCCAAATCGTTGTATGACAGGAAACTTTAAACAACCAGATATTTTAATTTCACATATTCATTCTTAGAAAATATGGATTATTTTATCTGTAAAATGTAAAGAAACAGAATGGATTGTCAACTATTTAAATCATGTTGAAAGGGTATCAGATTCCTAATTGATTCATATCGCTTGTGTTAGAGAACCAACTAACAGCCAGTTTGATCAGTTGAAGTCATTTAAACATTTGGAGACGTGTGTCTGCTGTGGGTTTCAGTAGGACACACGTCTATTGTTGTGTAATTGAATTGAGTGAATGAACAGAGCGTGAGAAACAGAACTCACTCAGAGTCCCTCCGAGACAATAGAACTCAACTAAGAGACCAAAGGTCAGAGGTCAACATAAATGGATTTGGCTATAACTTTATACTATTTCAGCTTCAACCACTGGTGATAAGTTCAAAATGAAAAGAACTTAATCAAATGTTTCATTTTAAGAAATTCATCTTCAGATTTCTGTAAAAATGTATGTTTATTTGAGCAAATCTTCAGCATCAGAGGCGTGAGAAAGCTTGTAGGGAATCTGTCCTGCATTAAGGCTCATTATCATGTGAATAGACACACTTCTATTGTTGTGTGTGTGTGGTGAACTTTTAACTGACTAAGCTTTTGCATCAGGCGCTTAAGATACTTTTGTCATCTTAACAAACATGTCTCACAAATGTGACTAAAATTGTATTTGCTGCTAAAACAGCAAACAAAAGTGATAACAAATTGAATATGCTTTTTTTTTTGCATATTCTCATTGCATGATAATAATTGTGATCAGAAAGTGTTTGATGACTCTCTGGCTCCTGCATCAAGTCAGGACATGTCTCAGTGCATCAGGACGTTCCCTCCAGATGGTTGGTGACGTCAGGTTGAAGTCTTCAGTGTCACTAATGCTCCATTCAGGACTCTGGATGCTTTTGTGCTCCATTGATGTGAATACAGAGAGTCAGTGTGGGAACCTCACATGAGATCTACTCACACTGACCAGCACAAACACACACACACATCTGGAGTCCTGGAGTCTCAGATAATGGAGACAATGACATCTGAATTCCAGTGCACAACTCTAAACCTTTAGATACAAATGCATTCATATACATACATGTTGAAAAATAAATTTTATGGCAATGCACTGTGTATTGAAATATTTAGAGCACTGTTTATTGTCAGTGTAAGTGCAACACATATATGGCCAACTAAAAGTAGGTGACCATATTCATTCATTCAATCATTCACAAACAAATAAATAATTCCCATTTTGGCTTTCTTGTAGCTGACACTTAATATCAGGCAACATTATTACTAAGCTTTTGCATCAGGCGCTTAAGATACTTTTGTCATCTTAACAAACATGTCTCACAAATGTGACTAAAATTGTATTTGCTGCTAAAACAGCAAACAAAAGTGATAAATTGAATATGCTTTTTTTTTTTTGCATATTCTCATTGCATGATAATAATTGTGATCAGAAAGTGTTTGATGACTCTCTGGCTCCTGCATCAAGTCAGGACATGTCTCAGTGCATCAGGACGTTCCCTCCAGATGGTTGGTGACGTCAGGTTGATGTCTTCAGTGTCACTAATGCTCCATTCAGGACTCTGGATGCTTTTGTGCTCCATTGATGTGAATACAGAGAGTCAGTGTGGGAACCTCACATGAGATCTACTCACACTGACCAGCACAAACACACACACACATCTGGAGTCCTGGAGTCTCAGATAATGGAGACAATGACATCTGAATTCCAGTGCACAACTCTAAACCTTTAGATACAAATGCATTCATATACATACATGTTGAAAAATAAATTTTATGGCAATGCACTGTGTATTGAAATATTTAGAGCACTGTTTATTGTCAGTGTAAGTGCAACACATATATGGCCAACTAAAAGTAGGTGACCATATTCATTCATTCAATCATTCACAAACAAATAAATAATTCCCATTTTGGCTTTCTTGTAGCTGACACTTAATATCAGGCAACATTATTGACTTGAATGTACTGACACTATTGGATGAGAACTAAACTGAGCTGAGCTGAACATCACTGATTTGCAGAGCTGTTCTATAGATAAATGTAACTTATATTAACATATTGTCACACTGTTATTAAACTGAACTCAGTCAACAATGAACCGACTTTAACTGAAAAATGTACTGTTTGCTATTGTCCTCTTTTTTAGAGCTACAGCAGAATTGAATCTTGTTTGCATCACTGAAACATTATTTTCCAGTTTAACACTGTGAATGAATGAATGAATAAATGAATAAATATGATTTAATATTTTAATACAATTAAATATTTGTATATATTTTTTCTTTGTTTAATAAGATGGATATAAATAGCTATTTGATGCTGTCTTTCACATGTGTGTATAATGTTGATGAGTGTGTGCTGCTTCAGTGACATTGATGTGAACATGAGCTCTCTACGGGTCAACACTTTCCCAGATTCACCCTCCAGCTGCTCCTTTGAGCCCCTGATGGAGGATCATTGAGCATGTGGGGGTCCACATCCCTCATTGTCTGTTTGAGCTCTTCCATTGGCAACAAACTGTGAGAAACTCCAACAAGCTCAAGCCTCACACATTCATATGGAGATTTGGGAGTATAAATAGAGGAGCTGCAGCCAGTGCAAATCAGACTCACTCTGAACAGAGAGATCTACAGCACAGAGATCCAGACATGACACCTACAATCATCTCAAAGGAGCAGCTCCCTCTCAACAACAAGGTACAGTCATATCCTACTTACAGCAGCATTACTGCAGCAGCTTTCACTGCTCTTCTCAATCATTGGCTTATTTGAAAGACACTTTCCTAATGCTTTTTCGTCTTCATTTGCAGCTGAGAAAGCCAAGGGTGGAGAAGATGCGCAGAGATCGAATCAACAGCAGCATCGAGCAGCTCAAGTGTCTTCTGGCTCCAGAGTTCCTCAAGCAGCAGCCTGATACCAAGCTGGAGAAAGCAGATATCCTGGAGATGACACTCAACTTCTTCAGGATCAACAGGAGGGAAAGTGTCCTGCCAGACCAGAACACCTTCAGCAAAGAGATGAATGTCAACAAGAGCTCCATCTGGAGGCCTTGGTAGAGCCTTAAAGACTGAACGTCTGCACTAGACTCAGTGGACTATTACACTTTCATTTTGTCATTCTGAAAAGAAAGTGTTTAATGAGTTCCAGTTTGGAAGAGATATTTGTACTGCTAAGTGCTCTGATGAGTCAATCTTCTATGAAGATTTTTCTCTTTTTGAGAAAATGTCCTTTAACTATTTTTTAAGTGAAATTACCATGATGGCACACTGTGTTTTAGCAGTGTGTATTAGTCTAAAAGTGCATTAAATTGCATTTTTCATATCCTTTGGGTGTAATTTTTCACCTTTGAGGGGATGCATTACGTGACCGTAAAGTCAAATCAGCTTTTTTTTGTTTCATGTTGATACATATTTCATTTTCTTTGCAACTGGCGAAAAGCATTTATTGATCTTTTTTTTTTTAAATCATATTTGTTGTTTTGAAAAATGATGCCTATATGAGGATGTCTTAATTTGGCTTTATAATAAGTCTTAAAATTTCTTTCAAATTTGAAAGATTATCAGAATGATCTAATCTGAACAACATGTTACTCGTGTTTTGTAAGTGTGGCCAAGAGTTGGTCAGTATTTGTAATTAATATTGATGATTGTTTTCAATCGTATTGAGATTTATATGAAACCCAACTGGGCTTGTATTTGTGTTTCTGAGGAAAAAGTATGCAGTTTGTATCTGAAAAGATCATGGATTTATTTTTCAAGAGGTTATACCTCATCTTTCTGTCAGTACCATGTACTGTGCTTTTGAACTGCCTTTTGTAAGGGTATTTATTTCTTAAACCATTGTGAATTTTTTTTCACTGTGTAAGTGAAATGTTGTTTCCTTATGTGAAGGAATTCATTTTAAAATATGAAACACAAAGGCCATTGAATGTATTTCAATCTGTCTGTGGCGAAATAAAACAATCAAAAAAAGTGCTTTTTTTCTGTTTTCATTATGCATTCATGATTTGGTTATCACAAGCATTAATTGGGGTTTGTTTATCAGGCTGTTCATGACATTCCTGAGTTGTTTGTAATGAGTAAAGAGTTAAAATATCCCCATTTGTAATATTTCTAAAAATATAATTGCTTTTGCTGAAAATGTACACCACCTCAGGTTATCCAAGATGTAGATGAGTTTGTTTCTTCATGGAAACAGATTTGAAGAAATGTAGCATTACATGACTTGCTCACCCGTGGATCCTATGCAGTGAATGGGTGCCGTCAGAATTAGAGTCCAAGCAGCTGATAAAAACACCACAATAATCCACACCTCTCCAGTCTATCAACTAACATCTTGTGAAGTGAAAAGCTGTGTGTTTGCAAAAAACATGCATCATTAGGAAATGTTTCACTTTAAACTGTTGCTTCCAGCTTAAATACGAGTCCTCTATCCATAATATTGCTATCTTCAGTAAAAAGTCGTCTTGTCTGAATCAGGAGAGAAATATGCACAGATCGAGCACTACTGACAAGTAGAAACAGACCAAAACAATTCCAAACAAATATGTTGGTGGATTTTGATGTAAGACGACAACAGGGGATGGACTTTTGTCAGTAGCATTACTGTGCGTTATGGATTTGTATTTTGATCAGAAATGACAGTTTGAAGTTAAAACACGCTGATTTTTTTTTCTTACAAACATGCAGCTTTTTAAACATACATGTTTAAGATTTTAATTGATGGACTGGAGCCATGTAAATTACTTGTGATGCACATTTTCAACAAATATTCATTTTTGGGTGAACTAAGGTTTAAAAGCATGGACTTTTGTCAGTAGCATTACTGTGCGTTATGGATTTGTATTTTGATCAGAAATGACAGTTTGAAGTTAAAACACGCTGATTTTTTTTTTCTTACAAACATGCAGCTTTTTAAACATACATGTTTAAGATTTTAATTGATGGACTGGAGCCATGTAAATTACTTGTGATGCACATTTTCAACAAATATTCATTTTTGGGTGAACTAAGGTTTAAAAGTCCTTCGGATGTTCAGTTTTGAGAGTGAATCTGGCATAAATGGAGTGATTTGACTGTGGGATTTGTGATATTTTTTCCCCCAAAACTGATCTTTAAATTTTAAATACACTTCTGTGGGATTTTTCTTTTGGGACTTTGGGTAACATTTTAATGTGTTTAAAGCTGCAGGCTGACTGGTCAGTTTAGAATTTGTAAAAAATGGATTGAGTTTCAAAACCTTTGATATGGACGAGAACAAGTCTGTTTTCTCTTGTTTTAGAATCTCAAAATTATTGAGTTTTATTGAGGGTTTTGGGATGCTAATGACACTGAGCTGTGATTCTGGGTTCCAGAGCTTTCCCACACTGAACAATAGACATGTGCCTATTCAGATGCTAATGACTGCTTGATCCTATAATAAAAATTCCCTCGGGAGGCTGTTGAATGCTTGTCATCTAATACCAGATAAACCCCCACTGACCACAGGTTGATGTATGTGATGCATATGTATGTGCATATACAGAGACATTTAAACATGGTTGTGGATCTTGATGTGACACTAATGGAACTGAAGTTAAAAGTTGTTTTTAACTTTGTGTGTTTGCATGATTTTACAATGACATAATTACAAAAATACTGAGCTTTGTCACATTTTGTGACCAATTTAACTCTGTTTGGTGTGTAATGCTAAATAACTTGTACAGATATAAATTAATTCTTCATTAGAAATATCAGTTTATAAACTCAATGTTTTTGCTTAACTTTTACAATGGATTTAATTACATTTTTTACATTTCAATTATGAATTATATTTTTCATTTTAGACATTTAAACACTGTTGTTGCTCTTCAGGTGACATTTTTGGAACTGAAGTTAAAAGCTCTTTTTAAATTTGTGTTTACATGATTTTCAACTGATATAATTAACAAAATACTCAGCTTTGTCACATTTTGTGAACAGTTCTACTCTGTTTATTGTGTGATGCTAAATAACTTGTAAATATATTTACAAATCGAAAAAAATGTTCATTCGAAAAAAATTATAATTCCATTTTTTCATTCATTATCAGTTTATAATATATTCATTATGATAAACTCTAATGTATTTTACTTGATCCAAAATGTTGTGCTTTAATTTAAATAAAAATATCAAGCTTTAACTTTTTCAACGAGAAACATAAAATTTTTTAAAGGATTTTTAATACACTTTGAGTCTTGAATATCTTTCCATACAGGTGCATCTCAATAAATTAGAATGTTGTGGAAAAGTTCATTTATTTCAGTAATTCAACTCAAATTGTGAAACTCGTGTATTAAATAAATTCAGTGCACACAGACTGAAGTAGTTTAAGTCTTTGGTTCTTTTAATTGTGATGATTTTTGGCTCACATTTCACAAAAACCCACCAATTCACTATCTCAACAAATTAGAATACTTCATAAGACCAATAAACAAAACATTTTTAGTGAATTGTTGGCCTTCTGGAAAGTATGTTCATTTACTGTACATGTACTCAATACTTGGTAGGGGCTTGAATATCTATCCATTCAGTTTATCAGCAAAGCTTTCAAATAACACTTTAAAAAAACTTACATTTTCAAATGGCGCCATTATATTTGAATGTTTTGCTTCGCTTTTACAAAAATGTTATCAAATAATAAATTAGTATAGAAAGAAACCATCTATATGTTTCTGTAGTTTTAATTTTTTATTAGTATTAGTGCACCATGAGAGCAATAGAGCACCATGTTGGAACTGTAAAAGTTTTATACAGGTCACTGACCTTAAACCCTTGCTCTCTAGTTGAGTTCTATTGTCTCTGAGGGTTTGTTTCTCACACTCTATACATTCACTCAATTCAATTACACAACAATAGATGTCTGTCTACTGAACGTCACATTCATTATGTACGTTAAGTAAAGCTTAAATATGTAAATAAGGGCAAGTTGTTTCAGTATATATCAAGCATTCAGTGTCTACTAACAGTTTTTGAACAATTAAATATCAGATACAGACACTTCCTGTAATAGTTTGCTGTCTAATGCAATCTCATTCAGACATTAAGAGTGACTTCATTTTAAAATATGAAACACAAAGGCCATTGAATGTATTTCAATCTGTCTGTGGCGAAATAAAACAATCAAAAAAGTGCTTTTTTTCTGTTTTCATTATGCATTCATGATTTGGTTATCACAAGCATTAATTATTCCTGGGGTTTGTTTATCAGGCTGCTCATGACATTCCTGAGTTGTTTGATTAAAAACAAACAAACAAACATTAAATGAAAAACATAATAATAATAATAATAAATGAAGAGAGTTCAAAATATAAGTCCAAGATTTAAAATACAGTGGGTATCTAGGAAGTTCTAGGAAGGGTTCTGGTCGTCCCAAACGTCTTCCATTTAAGGATTATGGAGGCCACTGTGCTCTTAGGAACCTTAAGTGCTGCAGAAATTTTTTTGTAACCTTGGCCAGATCTGTGCCTTGCCACAATTCTGTCTCTGAGCTCTTCAGGCAGTTCCTTTGACCTCATGATTCTCATTTGCTCTGACATGCACTGTGAGCTGTAAGGTCTTATATAGACAGGTGTGTGGCTTTCCTAATCAAGTCCAATCAGTATAATCAAACACAGCTGGACTCAAATGAAGGTGTAGAACCAACTCAAGGATGATCAGAAGAAATGGACAGCAACTGAGTTAAATATATGAGTGTCACAGCAAAGGGTCTGAATACTTAGGACCATGTGATATTTCAGTTTTTCTTTTTTAATAAATCTGCAAAAATGTCAACAATTCTGTGTTTTTCTGTCAATATGGGGTGCTGTGTGTACATTAATGAGGAAAAAAATTTACTTAAAAGATTTTAGCAATTGGCTGCAATATAACAAAGAGTGAAAAATTTAAGGGGGTCTGAATACTTTCCGTACCCACTGTATATCCAAGATTGCACTTGACAAACATGACAGAATTTTAACAATCACAGAATGTTTCAAAGAATGAAAAATATTTCTGAGGCAAAATAAAAATAGTAACAATTTATTTTATAAAATCAAATTCAGAATAAAAATGTTAATCAAAACAAATCAAGATTAATAAATTAATAAGATTACAATAAATTATTAAATAAATCACAGGTTCATTCAAAGAAAAGACTTTCATACCAAAGATGAAAA